CGGAAGGGATTTGATCCATTCGAGACATGTTCATAGGAATACTCTGTAATAAATAACATCCAATATTGCACATGTTCATTAACACTATTCAATAACTAGATAGTACATTATTGAACAGGTTCATTGGAAAACACAGTATACACACACACACACACACAATAATTCATTATTATGTTTATTCATAACATATTATTTAAACAGTAAACAATTCATTGTTATTGGTTGTCCACAGAATATTCTTACCACAAATATTAATTTGTTTTTCCTGTGTTCATGGAATATTCTTAATTAACACGGATAATTATTCATTGTTATAATATTTTTTATTATGTTCTTAACAGAGATAATAATTCATCATCATGAATGTTCATGAGTAGACTATTAATAAGTTTAACAGGTCATCATTATGCATATCTATGGTAATTGCCTGTAAATAGGTAACAATCCATCATCATGCAAGTTCGTTAAAGAACTCTTTCAACAGATAATAATGTCATTTTTGAAACTCATAAGAGTTTTCTGTAAATAGGATAACAATAGATGCTCATAAGAATATTTTGTAACATAAAATTTTGCACAGGTTCACTGAAGTATTCAAAAAGAGGTAAAAAATCGCCATCTTGTAAGTCCTATAATAAGTTTTTTTTACAAAAACAGACAATAGTTAATCATAATGCATAATCTATTAAATGCTGAAAATATCAAATAACAGAAAAGCTATCGTCGTGCGTACTTGTTAAAACATTCTGTCAAAATATAACAATTGTTCATCGAATACGTTCTTATGAATATTGTATAAATCACGAAAACAAAATCTTATTCTTTAGATAACCAAACAGCTAGAAAACACGACTTTATCTTAGCTCGTTCGTTTGGACTTGACTGTTGACAGATGATTAATCGGACTTTAAGTAGTTTAGTGGCTGTTTTTGTTTGCTATTAAGCACAAAGCTACACAAAGGGCTATCTAGTAGTATAATTGATTTCTAGTGGTATAAGTCCGCAGACATACCACTCTGCCACTGGGGAGCTTTAACTAGTTGAGACATTTCTGATTAAACTAAATGTATTGTAACTATCAGAGCCATCAGAATATTACTTCTACTATATGACCTATGAAACTTAGACTAGACTTAGAACGCTACAATTCAGGGTTCGCTCCTTGCGATGAGTACTGCGCCGATAGCCCTTTGCGTTTAGATAAAACCAAATAAAATAAATTTGGAAGAAAAGGTGAGCAACTGGTAAATGTACTCGGGAAAAAAAATCACGAAAGGTAATATTTTTTTTTAAATAATCACATTAGTAATCTAGTGAATGACACGTGATGACCTATTGGTTTCGCGTCAACAAAATATCGAATGAAATATTAAATAAATGTGTTTCATTCGATATTCAAACTTTTATTGCACCCGACGCCAATCAAAAGTAATTAAATGTTATTGACACACGATTAAATGTAATGCATTAAATGAAGAAGCGTGCGAAATCGTTTAATTCAAAAAATAGTTTTGAGTATTCGTTAAATATCAATTACAAACATAAAACTAAAAACATTACCTCAGACTTGAAAAATTTGCGTATCTTTTAAACTTAATTTAAAAACAAGCACTTCCAGTAACAAGAAACTACAAATAAGATTACATTACACGAGAAACACAGTAATATTAAGCTAACATAATAAATATTTTGTTTTAAGCATATTTGAAACAATAGAGCTAATAAATGCTAGGACTAAGCTCCTCCAATAGCAACAGAGTCAAAGAGAATAATTTTACATATATTCGACGATCTTGCTCTCACTCCAATATTGAATAAATAATCACCTGCTAATTCTACTTGGTGTTATTATTGTGTCATATACAAACTCGTATTATATTGTTTGTTTATTTCCGAATTTTGCGAAAAGGTGTACAAGAGTTATCTACGTATAGCCGTCGCTAAGAGTTTGAAATAATAGACCAGATGGATTTCACGCAAAGCTACATGAGAGCTATATGCACTAGCCGTCCCTAATTTAGCAGTGGGAAGGCAGCTAGTCATCACCACCCACCGCCTACTCTTGGACTACTCTTTTACCAGTGAATAGTGGGATTGACCGTCACATTATAACGCCCCCACGGCTGTTTGGTGTGACGGTGATTCGAACCCGCGACCCACAGAATGCGAGTCGAGCGCCCTAACACCTGGCCATGGTGGGCCAGACCAGATGGAAGGCAGTTAATTAGATTTGTCCGTAGCTTTTATAGCAAATCCCTGACTTCAAAGTGAGGAGTGTATTTTTACGGCAACGGGTCACGAATATTTGTACGCTCATGTTAATAACTAGGCCACATCCGACCCATCTCATACTATACAAAAGGTAAACTTGTCTATGCTGATTGCTTTATATATATATAAACGTAGAGTTAAACATGGTCGAGAAAAGTGTTTCTAAGCTTTACGAAATACCTTACTTAAAAATGAATCATTATTTAACAAATTTCAGGGCTATCTGTGGAACGCAATAGCTTATTAAGAAGCTCAAAAAGTTGTTAACGATAACCTTTATCATAATAACACACACACACATATATATTGATATACATAAAATGACATTTTTTACGAATTTATAAAGGCATTTTTATTTTAAAAATTGTAACAACAACAGTAAAGTAACTCGCAATTTATCTCTTAAGTTGGAAGTACGGGGCTATCCAAAAAGTTACTGAAATTGTGTTTTCCTACAGAACAGGTTGGAAAGACGGGATCAACTATTGTTAAGTACGGAAAGAACAAGCATGATGTAAGAATACTGAGAAGACCAGGTAGAAAGCCAAATGAATAAGAATTTTTGAACCATTTTTTATTCTTAGTTTGACAAGGGAGGTAGTGTTTAAAGAGAAAAAATATATATAAAAAAGTTTCCAACAAAAATATAACTTGACAGAGTAAAAACAAACAACTCATCACTAAACACAGCAGTGTTTAGTATCTAGGGATAGTCCGAGAAAAAAAAATGGCTGCCACATTCAATCTATTACTCTATGATGCTTACAAATATCTGCTAAAGTTGAGTTATAGCCTTATTTGAACACCTAATTGCCATTATCAAGCGTTTCACAGCTTGTAAAACAGTAATATTATTCTGTTCTTCTACCACACTCATTTTTGTGGGGAGAAAAAGGAAAACTACTACTTAACAATGAATTCAGTTTATAAGCATATATTATTTCTATGTTTCATAAATAAAAATTGCGTTTCTGGTCGCTAGATGGCAGCACTCTTTGAACCAAATAATGTTTCTTTTATAACACGAACAGCTGAAAATGTAGAGTGTGCCCAGTGGTATCAGTCTCCAACTCCGAATCTTTCAACATACTTTTATATATTATATGTTCTTATATTAAATGTCATAAAAGCACATCCCTCAAAACGTCTCTATATTTACTCTAGTCTCACTGATAGTTGAAATGAAAAGCGCTAGTTTTCTCTTCAATGCCTTTACCTTAAACTCATCTTCCATAGCTTCATAGTTACAGCTGAAATTTGTGAGACCAGTGGAATCTACTGGGTGCGATAGTATATCCTGTAAGAAACAAATATTGATCAGACGTGCAGAGAAATATATAAACTATGATTAATTTAAAAAATAATAAAAGGAAAACAGATGTATACAGAACCGCACCAGTAAGGAGGTGAAGAGGTACCTGTACCCACCTCACATATCGATGGACCTTCCCTCCCAGGCTAATGCAGTGGTTCTTAACTTTTTTTGGTTGAGACCCAAATTGTGGTCCCGGGGCTATCTCGGCGACCAATGCCTTCAAATATACCCCTGTTGGACTACAAAAGAAAGTTCGGACAGTCACTGGAGACCCTTGACGATCTACTCAAAATGGCTTAGTGACCCAGTTTTGGGTCGCGACCCCAGTGTTAAGAACTACTGCTTTAATAAGATTTTTCTGCCTCTATCCTAAATAATAATAATATTATTACTTCGTTGGCCTGGTTATATGTGTCATTGTCCCCACCATAAAAAAATTAAGAAAAGCTAGAACTGGGGCTGAATGCTTATACATGTTAAACTATTTTCATTGATGTTTTACTGTACAAATATCAAATTTGAAGAACAGAAAATGACGTGGAGGAGACCTCTATATACTTTTGTCAAAAAGCATTCATGTGATTTACTAAAACCCCTCAATTCATCTTGACGCTAATATTGAAGCATATAACTTCATAACAATGCTATAAACTGCAAATAGAATCCTCGTTTCATGAGTAAGCCTATGTTACATCTTACGGGTAAAAACGTTCCTGATTTTTTTTTTCAAAGAAGCAATACTTTGATCCAATGATTGTAAAATAATTCCTGCTACATGAGCTTAAGTTTTCCTATAATCCATAAAACTGGATTTCAATGTGATAAAATGAGTATCAATGCCATAGCAAGCAATTTTTGAGTGGTCAGGCCATTGCCACAGCTAAACAATGTGACACACGATGCGTGAAAAGCACATTACCGGCATGTAAAGCATGCTATTTCCAGGGGGGTCTGGGGACATACCCCCAGAAAAATTTTGAAAATTTAATGCTATAAGATTGAATCTTGAGCCGTTTGAGCTACAAATACTGCATACACACAACGTAATGTATTAAATTAAAGGAAGCAAATTTTAACACATAAGTTGTAGCTATACATGTCGTGAAAAAGTGGTTAGGCCATGGCCTGTCTGGCCTTACCGCTTCCAAAAACACACTTAGCTATTTGCATTTGCTCTGATAATAATGATTTAATGAAGTTACTGACTCTAAACATTTAACTAAGTAGAAAACTTTTAATCCGGGCATTATCAACAAAGCACTAAAATATTTAAAACGAATAAATATTGAAAATTATTTTACTATCAATTCCCCCTTTTGTAATAGGTAATTTGTTTTTGATACGCTGATTATGCCATTTTGATATAGACCTATAAGTAAAATCAGGACTCAGTTTCACGAAAACCTTTCTTAAGGTAATTCTTAATACTAAGACACCTATTTACCTAACGCAAGGTTAGTAAAGAAGGTTCTTTAGATACGAAACCTTCTGTTAAGCACTCTTAGGAAAGAGGTCTTTCCTGAGTTATGTCTGAGGAACAACTTCTTTCCTAAGATGCTTTCGTGAAACTGGCCCCATACTTTACTTTCTAATAAATAAATTAAACCTATTAAATGAAAAAGGAACATATAAAAATAACTTGGTATATATTGGCGAAATAACTGATAAGTTCAACTATCGTTTAAAAGAAAACGAATTTGCAGTTAATAACAAAGCAAATTGACCATTACAAACAAAACTAATTTGTACTCCTGACAACATTGGAGAATTAATCTGAATATTCAAATGTAAACAGTATACATCCTAATCGCGACAAATAAGATCTTCATCTCTTTAAAATGGACATATTTTGTATTTTAAAATGTATTTTGTGGTCGCTTGTTATTGTTATATCTCTGTATTTCTTTTGCATGAGCCACGTGCTATACCAGTACACTTTGTTTAAATATGCCAACTGGGTTAATACCTGATAATGACACAAGTTTAGAGGACTGGAACGTGTTGTGTAGTTTAAATAGGGATTTCTAAGCCATTGAATACAGATTCCTTTTATATAACAAGATATTATCTTAGAATGAATTTCAAAAACAATTGATCAGTGGCACTTAGTTTTTACAATACCTTGTACTCTGATTAAAGCTAAGGCGTAAGTCGAAATATTGACATATTAAGCATTAATTTTTCTGAAGTTGAAAGTCATTTCTTTTTTATGAATAATTAATTTTCACTGTCATCTTTGTCTCTTTTAAATGCAACTTTTAAGTTAAATAGAGATAATATTTTCTGTAAAGTGTTTCAAAGGACACCAATGATTAGTTTTAAGAAATTACTGGATTTCTCACTGAGGTAAACTTTACCGGATCATCGAAAGCTTGATTGAGAAATGATCTCATCGAAAATTGGAGTTCTTTTTGCTGAATGTTGGTATCGGTGTGAAAAGAATTTAAACTGTAGTCTTCTTGATGGGCTTGTTCACACTTACTAGTTCGTCTACGTCGATGTTTTATGATGGCCTAGAGTGAAAAAGAAGAAACAACTGTGAAAAACAAACAAAAAAGGGTATTATGTTAGTAGTAGTATTATTTCAACTATTATTTTTACTATACCCAAGTAATGTAAATGAATCACGATTAATAAAAAATATAATAAAATTCATGGCCTTACACGAATCATAAAGTTTTTCAGGAATGAGTGATTTTACGAAACGTCTTTCATAATTTTCTCCATCACTTGCAAATATCGATAATTCTTGTTAATTGTGATGTCACATGTTAAACTATTGCAATAAACCATCTTTTGAGAGGTGATTAATGTTATGCAAATACGCTAGCTTTATATTATACCAGGAAATTATTTGACCTTGCACGAAATGAAGCCATTAACTGTTCACTATCCACTCAGTCATATTAAAATTTCCTTCCTTGATAGTCTTCGTGTATAAATTTATTTTAAAATTATTCGAATCACCTTCACATTCGTAATCAACCAGAGCGTTGATTGAAATTCATCATACACGGGACAGACTAAGTGAGTGGAAAAAATCTGATATTGCTGAAGTGCAAGTTAATGAGACTTACAAACCTGGCTATCAAGTACGGACGGATATGCGATAGGCTTAGACACCAGGTATCACGAAACAGTAGAAATTAAAGAAAAATTTAATTTTATTTAGTGATAAGAAACTCCTTAAGATTTCAAGTTCTCTTTCAAAAGACGAATCGATATAATTCATTGAGAGTATGAAATATTTGAAACGTTTTATGAATTTTCCAGTTTTATTTACTGGAACTGAGAACGTTTGAGCCTACATAAAATGAGCTATTTTCCGCAGAATCTACAGTTACTCTATTCAAGGTCTTCTTCTGAAGAAAATATAGCCGGTAGTTACAAGGTATTATAATTTCTTACTTTACCAGGTCTTTTGAAGCAGGTACTGCTTGTATTTAGAGAATATAATATCAAAAACAAAAAGAAGGCCTTTTCTTGAAGAATTTATTGTTTATAATCGCAATACCTTCTGAATAATGTATAACTTGTCTTAAAAAGACTTAATAACAAATAAAGAATAGTTACTTTCAACAAGACATTTTCATATATGTGTGTTGTCTTCACAGTGCTTTCTCCTAAAGAATATATATATGTATACTTCTTATTTCTACTGCAAGAGGAATCTTACATCAGCGAGTTCAGAAGAAGGTTGGTTGAACACCCAAATGAGAAACGTATTTTAGTTGTGCTCTCATCGAGACCGTAGCGCCATTATTGTGTACAGTCTACAACATGAGGTATGCGCATCTAGGCGTAATATAAAAATTGTAAGAAAGAGCCTAAACAAATGAGTGCTTCTAGAGAATTCGTTAAAAAAAGAGACTATTAAAAGCATGCAGGTTAACTTTAATGGTGATTGAAAAATATATATATCTCGTTATTTAGGTTGTGGGAAATTAGTGACGAATCGGTTTTATGAAATCCTGAATTTACGAGATTCTTTCTCATAAGATATAGACAACGGCTTTATTCATTTGATTTCGTCGTTTCAACAAGATAACTTACAAATTCGCTAATCTAGTAAAAACTGCATTAGCGAACTTGTAGGTTATCGATAGCTTCTGACGAAACTGTAATAACGAAATACTGACCTAATGCTGGAGATGTAAATCGTTCTTTTATTTACATTGATAAAAAGTATTGTTGTTTTAAACACAAAAACACTGTTGAAATCACATTATTAAATATTATCACGAGATTCTTACATTAAAATATTAAAGTTTTATATTAATGAAGCCTAATTACGCCTGGTAGGATTGCCAAAACGACGTCTTCTAAGAAGTATCGAATTCGGTGAAACGACTCCTTTCCCTAACGAATATAAAATTCAGTGATATTGGCTTTATGATAAAATATATTAAAGTTCCTTCACTTGATTGAAGAATCAAGGTGAAAAAATACAAAACTTTCTTATTGTAACGCTGACTGTTGATGCATCACAACTTAAGTTATTAACATATACAAATATATAATTGCAACAAATGATGGCAAAATCCTCAACATACGATACACTTATTAAATTTACTTTTGACAATGAAAGAAGAAGTGAATTTCAATTAAATAGAAATCATGAAGGAATTTCACTGACAATTAATTTTGCTGAATAATAACATGTCGTTAATATAACTTTTTATTCGAAGTTTTAAACATTTTTATAAGTTAGTTGTTTTTGGAGATTACATAACATGACCTTAAACACAAGCTCATACCAAGGTAACAGCAAGCACGCAAACACCGGCGACAGACATCACCGTAATAACACCCATGTTTCCTTGTGAAGAAGAATTATCTCTAGCTTTTTCAGAAGGTTTCACGTCCTTGGTTCTAAATTCAACTTGTATACTGTATACCTGAATACATAATGAAAAACATAAATAAGAATATACTTTTTAAATTATGCTGAATATGCTCCAAATGGTTCTACGCTGTACAGAAATGTATGGTATATTGTTTGTGCTAAAAATTCACATATAAAATCACGCTTTCTTTCTTTTTTCAGTGGGAAAAAACTGACTTTGAGACACTCCTAAAATGTATCAACCACTTCTCAGTCTTTACGTGCTACATTTCTCAGTTACTCCTAAAAATATTAACAATTCTTAATTTTTACACGCTGTAGTTTTAATTACACCAAAAAATGTCTGGAACACTTCTCGGTCTTTACATACTACAATTTTTAATTACGCCTATAAATAATTATCAAACACTTCCCAGCCTTTAAGAACTGCAGTTATTAATTACAGATAAAACTGTTGAACACTTCTCGTTATTTACATTCTGCATTCCTTAATTAAACCTTAAAAGTATCAACCACTTTTCAGTCTTTACATACCGCAGCTACTATTAAATGATAATTTCTTGTATTGTAAATATGAATATATTAAAACAAAGGTTCGGCAAAAGGAATATTCACAAAGCTGATTTGATTGAAATCATAAGATAATACATGTTGGAACTATTAAGCAGAAAAACACGTTGTTTGTTTTCGTGGTAATAATATCCAAACTATGAAACCTAGGATCTAAAAGCCGGCACGACAGCTCTAGGCCACGTCCGGTTGTTATGGTTTAAGAATATTTCATGTTTGATAACACTGAAACAGGTGATGTAACAATCCAGTCCTAATATATTTGGTAGAGGTCAATGGCATTTCTCTTATCTGACCATTGAGTAAATTATCATCAATTTAGACACAACTTTTGATTTTCGTTATCTGTGAAGTTGTTAAAGGTAAGGTTTTCGATCGCAATGAAAGATGGTGTAATTCTAAGAAAAAAGTCTAACTAGTAATACCTTTGTAGATAAGGCCAAACACATATCAAAGTCTAACATTTTCTGAACATCACTCACTTGCACCGTTACAACTATATTCTTTGTGAAACAGGACACATAATGGTTGATACAGATCATTCGATACCCGTGGTGGGCAGAGTAAAGATAGCCCATTGTGTATCTTTGCGCTTAACTACAAACAAACAAATAAATCAAACATTATTTGTTCCGAACGACAAGTGCCCAGCCTTTGAAACAAACATCATGTAGGTTACACACCTACTGACAAACTTCATAGGTTGTGTTACAAATACATTTATAATTCGTATTTGTTCCAATAACGAAACGTTCAGCTAGTGTCATTTTAACAGCATTTAAACAATTCACATTTATGAAAAATTTACTTTAAAGGCACTTATAATTTTTATTTGTTTCAATAACTGGTGTAATGATGACAAACTTTACGCAGTTCACTCTATTTTATAATATTTATTAGCAGAGACCCGCAAAACATTTCTGGTCAAATTAGTATCTTTATCGTAACAGTACTTCTTTAAATATAACATTTCTTGCACAATACAAACGAATTGTAATCATAGACAATGAAATGTGTAAATCCACTTTTATATAGGCCGTACTTTATAAAACTTTAACTTATGTTAGGCCTAAGTTCGATAAAGAGAAAAATTAACACTGTAACCTGTGTACGTTTTTTGTTTTTACTTTAGTTTAGTTTGGACTAAACTTTACTGTACTTAATACTATCGATAAATAAACCTATAATGATATTCTACGACCTAACGTCAAACCTTTTTTAAAACTTTGATAAGTTTTTAATATTCTGTTGTACAAAATGGTTTGTAGAGTATATTTATATTCCCCTTTTGTTGTTACTTCTTGTTTCTATACAGCAATTGCAGCGACTCGATCACTGAGCTTAGGAGCTCTCTGCCGCAGGCAGACTGTTATCGTC